CCGTGCGATTCTGTTAAATTTCTAGCTTTTTTTGCGACATATTCAGAAACATTAAATTCTTTACACATTTTTTCTATTGGCCAAAACTTTGGAGCTAAGCTTAAAATTTTAATTTTATCTGCAATCTTATCTGAAAATTTAATTTTTTCTTTTAACTCTTCAATCAATGTCCTATAACTTTGAGCCCATAAAATATCTTCGGAATTTGGAGTTTCAATTTGAAAATTAAACGAGTCATTTAATTCATCGGCCAATGATTTTGATGATTCAGTTAAAGCTTTTTCAACTATGCGTTGCCTTTGATCACAATTCAATTTCCTTATTTTATTTGGTTGCAATCCTAACATTATCAGAGCTTCATCTTTTGAGCTTTCTATAAATTCAATATACAATAAAACAATGAATGACTAAGCAAACGAGTTATTGAATTAAAACGTTCATATATAGACAATTTAATTAAGCGTAACAGATACTACACAAATAATGCAGAAATAAATTATTTACAATAATACAAAATTTAAATATATTACCATTGGGAGGTACAAATGTAGGATCATTAATTGTATCGAGTTCAGCCGCCTTTTTAATTTTCATGTCACCTACTTTTATTCTACAATTTGAACAAATACTCAAACCAGGTATCAATTTCATAAAATTGTTCATTTCCGCATAATCTAAAGTTATCTTCCGTAAACCTTTTTTAATAAGTATCTTGTGTGAATTAAAAGGGTCACAACATTGTCGTCCAAATGTTTGGGAATAATGATGAAAATATTTATATTCATGTTTCTCACAAATTGTGGTAATTCCATCAAAGGTTCTTAATTTTAAAATCAGTTCTTCAGATTCGTTGTATTTATCTTTTATCATTTGTTGAATCAGTTCTTTTTCACTTTTGCATGATTCTTTAAAATAAACACCTACAGAACACTGCATTTTTAATAATTAAAATAACACTTTAGAAAATTAAATGCTTTTGTACTAAATGTACATTTGTGACATAACCATCAATAAGGTTATTTAAAAAACAACACATTGTTTCATTAATAAAAAATAAAAATTATCTTATCTTTTCACATGTTTTTTTACAAAAAAATAATATTAGAAAACCATAGCCATTTAAGTAAAAATTATTTCAATCTTTTAATCTATTAAAAACCGAAATATTTAAATATATTTTAGAAATAATATTTTTAAAAAATAATTATGAATTTTAATGTTTAAATCTTATTTGCAGACTAAAATTTTAATTTAAATAAATAAATGGCTATTAAGACAACTAACTTCAGTTTCGTAGAACTACTTGCATTTTAACCTTCAATTTCGTTTTTCGAAGCTGATTTTCTAAACTGAATAAAACTATAAAATAGTTCGAAATCCATCGCCAAAATTTGACAGAATGGAAAACAGGGTCTAATTTAAGTATAAGGAGAAAAATTGGATTTTTTTATTTTGCACCTGAGGAGTTACAAGTGTTCAAAATCACCGAAAATCCTGGAAAGTTCAATATTCAAGGTAACATTTTTCATATTTCTACACCATAATATTAAAAAGTCAACTCATGATATGAAAGTACTTTGAAAGTACTTAATATTAAGTAGTAATAAATTTTTAAATATTTACAAACTTTCTAGAAAAATATAATAAAAATATGGTGAATTTTGGCATTTGACAGATAAGATTAAAAATCAATTTTCATCTAATATTTTGGACTTTTTTACATAGCAATCAATTTATATAAGTAAATTGGACTATTGTGATTAAATTTCAATCAAAACATTTATACTATCTAAATTATTTTTGTGTTTTTTTATTAAATTTTCAGAGCTGTCAAAATAACCTTTTTTCCCTGCACCTCCACTTAAAAATTAAAATTCGAAAGCAAATACGAATAATTTTATAAAAAATTTGCCAAAAATGGATTGTGCTGATATTAAAAATCATTTTTACAAAATATTATGTTTTTCTGAAAATAGGCCGCAACGACTTTAGGTGAAATATAATGGAATGACCCAGAAATATTATGAGAATTTTATTTTAAATAATTGGATTCTTCTGGAAAACTTTATTCTTGAAAATAATTGAATTTTTCGATTAATTGATTTAAAATAGTATTGAATTTGTAAATAATTGAATTCCTGTAAAATGTTTATTATTTTATAAAAATAATAACAAATTTTTTAAATAATTAGATTGTTTTGGAAAAATTTTATTAAAATAGTAGATATTGAAAAACGTTGAAATGAGGAACATTTTTGAAAATAATTGAAATTTTGCCAAGAATTTTATTAAAATTTTTTAAAATAATAGAACTTCGGAGAAGAATTTTATTATTTATAAAGATAATAGAAATTTTTATCAGAATTTAAAAAAATTTTTGAAAATAATTATATCGTACAATTTACAAACTTTTCGTCCTTTTTCTATCAAATTACGGATTTTACGGACCTTTTATCAAAAAACTGACTTTTACGAACTTTACAGAATTTACGGATCTAGTTCGAGCCTTGAATTATGTATTTTAAAAATAAATTGACTTATTTTACGAAACAAAATTTGCCAATGCCATCATTTCTGCTTTTCTTTTGATCTTTCAGAATTTTAAGTTGTTAATTTTTTTCCATTTGATTATATGTATGTCTGTGGTTCATATTAATTCTCAAAAATCAAAATAGAATAGAATTGCAAATTAGAAAGGCAATATTAATTATTACTATTAATTTTTTACTAAAAATTTGTAAAACTAATTGTGGGCTTTAAAAATATTGTTCAAGAGTATTTCAAGTCTTGATGAAAAAAATTCCCTGACATTTCCAGGTTTTCCAGGACATTTTTAATTTCCCTGACATTTCCCGGTTTTCCAGGTGTTGAAGACACCCTGAATTTAAATTAAAAGTAGGGGCCATTCAAGTATTACGTAAGCATATTTTTGAGGTTTTTAGACCCCCCCCCCTCCCCCATTGTAAGATTTTTTAAAATGCTTACGTAATACTTGAATGGTCCCTAGTAAAGAAATTGGTAAAATCAACTATCATATAACTTAATAAAAAGTGTAAAAATTGATGGATGCTTAATAGTTTAACCATTTTTAATTCAAATAGCCTCGTTGGCAACCACGTTTTTTTTACCTTTGAGAACAAAAAGTCTGCAGGGAATTTTGAATTTGAACAAACTTCCAGTGAGATATTTGTTCATTGTCACATAAGGTATAGTCTTCTTTAAATTTTTAAAAAGATTCTTTATTTATTTACAAGAATACAAGAGTTTTAACAAATATACGGTGGCGCCGTCGGCCATAGCCGCTATTCAGGTTTCAAGTGTTACTCAACTTAGCACTTGACAAAAAAGGCTTTTTCTTTTCAGAAGACGAGAATTTTTATTTATATATATATAAGTGATATAATTTACAGAGATTTAAATATATAATTTATAATATATATTATATATAGATGTTCATATTACTATATAAATAATGATAATTTAATTTATAATTTTCATTTATAAAGAAGTTACTTTTTCAGTTTTTTTAAAATTATTATAAAAAAATCTTTGTCCTACATAAAGAAATTCAAAGGAAAAAAATGCGCCTTTCCATTTTTTATAAGATAGAACTTTCAGACTTCCCACACGATAATTAATTTTAAAAAAGTAGCTTTTAAACTAAAAGAAAGTAGTAAAAAAGTAGCTATCGAAATATTAAATTTGACGACCAAAAAAAAAAACTCGTTTTAGACACTTGAAAAAAATGACAAAACTTACATTCCATATTTTTCTAACTTTTTCCTAATTTTCATCAAAAATATTTACTTCTTTCTTATCCTGATAATAAATTGAATTCCTGCAACGAATTTTATTATTCATCAAAGAATTTAAACATTTATAAAAATATTTGAATTTTGCAAAGAATTTTATTAAAATCCCTCAAAACCTATATAATTGTTAATTGAATTCTTTCGAAGAATTATTTATGTAAATAATTGAATTCTTGGGAAGAATTTTATTAAAATCTAAAACAATAATTGAATTATTTCAAAAAAAATTTAAATAAAATTGTATTTAAAATAATTGATTTCTTTCGAAGAATTTTATTAAAATCTAAAAGAATAATTGAATTATTTGAATTAAATTTAATTAAAATTGTATTTAAAATAATCGATTTCTTTCGAACAACTTTATTAAAATATTTGAAAATAATTGAATTCCTGTGAAAAATTCGAATATTTTTGTAAATAATTAAATTCTTCCAGAGAATTTGAAAAAAACTATCTTTAAATAATTGTTTCTTTCGAGAAATTAAAATTAAAATTTTAGGAATAATTACATTTTTTGAGCAATTTGAAATCCTGCGATGAATGTTATTCTTTATGAAAATAATTGAATTCCAGTAAAAAATTCTAATATTTTTGAATATAGTGAAATTCTTCCAAAGAATTGAATGGATTGAACGAACTTACCTAAGTGATGCTCAATCCAAATTGTATGAGATGTCTCGTCCGAAAAGATCAAAAAACGTAGTAGTATCGTGGTACTGCTTGTTCCGCCACAGTAATTTTAAATAGTAGAAATTTTTGGCGCCACTGTCAGGTGTCGCCCCGGTCTCACTTCCTTTTCCAGCCATTATGTTTTAAAGCTTTCCGAAACTCGCATGTGGGGATGTTTAGGGTGAGGAGGGTGTGATCTTTTCGGACGAGACATCTCATACAATTTGGATTGAGCATCACTTAGGTAAGTTCGTTCAATCCATTCAATTGTATTTCGATGTCTCGTCCTCAAGATCAAAAAACGTAGATGTTTAAAGTCTTATGCGAGTTTGTTTCAATTAGAAAATTATTTATTGTTTGTAACTCGAATAATAAACAAAGTGTAAACTTTAGAACAAATTTTTTTTTTTTTTTTTTTTTTTTTTTTGAGCTGAACTATGCTCTTAGATTGAGACAGCTGATCTTATCTGGATAACGAAAGAATTAAATGATGATTTACAGAAAAATAAGAATTAGAGTTTAATTTAAGATCGCTGCTGCAAAAGTGGATGATTCGGCTAGGGGTCGATTATAGAATCTTGCGAATGTAGACGATGATGATGTCCATCCCGCCGCACGACGGATGATTTCTATGTTCGTTCCCTTGCGCGCTGCTGCTGATGTTGCAGCGTGCCTGGTGCTGTGAGCTGAGAAAATAGTGGTGTCCACACCAGTTTCCTCAAGAGTGTCTCGTATCCAACGGCTCACGGTTTGCGACGAGGCAGCATTGTGTGGTTTTTTATAACTAAGAAACAAATATCCCTTCGTTGGGTCTCCTGACCTTAGCCTTCTTGTTTTTCGGATATAGGCACGAAGTACTGACGCTGCACAAAGTTGCGGTTGGCCAGAAAATGTGGGAATCTCTAGATGCGGCTGAATTTTATTTCTACCCGATGTTTTGATCCTCTCAGTTATTTTAATTCGAATGGGTTCTTTACTGATATCAATGTTCTCCAGCTGGACTGCGGACAACGTCTGTATGCGTTGCGCAGTGATTAAAGCCAGTAAAGTTGCCAGTTTCTTGGTTAGTGCTTCAAGCGTTAGCTGATTATTCGGATATTGTGATGAGAGATGGTCTAAAACTGGTTTTGGGTCCCATGTTATATCGTACTTGTAGTTCTGCGGTTTCGAATTTGAAATTCCTTTGAAATATCTCGAGATATGCGGGTCCTTGCCTAGCTCGTTGCCCATTATGAGTGATATTGCTGCTCTGTAAATATTTGCAGCGCTGAAAGACTTGCATTCCTTCAGGACTTCAGTGAAGAATTTCATTACATTGGCAGTTGAATATTTGAATAATTCGATGTTCTCTTTTTGGCAAAATTCCCACCACAGTCTAATCGGTTTAGCGTACCGTTTCAACGTGCTCTCGGTGATTGACTGGATCATTACGTCAGCTGCTTCTTCGGTAGCTCCTCTCACGATGAACGCCTGCCTGATAGTAGAGCTACTACCAGGGAAAGATTCTGGTGTAGAGGGTGAGTCGATCTGTGAGGAGAAGACAGTAGATTAATATGAGGATCGAAATAAATTGGTTTTCCTACGACTAGTGACATAAATAAAGGGAACCAGGGTTGTGTTGGCCATCGAGGTGCAACTACAACCCCTTCCGCTTTATCTATTTTTATTTTTTGTAGTACTCGTAGTAATACACAAAACGGAGGAAACGCATAGAAAAAATAGCTTCCCCAATCAACAGTGAACGCATCTATAGTCGCAGAGTCTGGATCTCTGTGCCAAGAAATGTAGACATCACACTTAGTATTTGCCCTTGAAGCAAAGAGATCAAGATCAAAGTTCCCGAAATTTCTTTTGATCTTTGAGAAAGCCCAGGGTGACAGCTCCCATTCTGTCTCTGGTGGAAGAAGTCGAGATCCTTCGTCCGCCTCTTTATTTTCCTTTGAGGGTATATAAGAGGCGTAGACCCACAGTTCTCGTTCTTCACACCAGTTCCAGATGTCTCTGGAAATCTGAGTTAATGTCGGATACTGAATCCCCCCCATTCTATTCACGTAAGCGATGGCTGTTGTGTTATCCATTCGGAGTAGGATCTCACACGCAAGGTCTCTCTTGGCAAAACACTTTAGGCCCAAATGAGCTGCAATGAGTTCCAGCTGATTGATGTGCAGTTTGGATTCATTTTGATTCCAAGGGCCAGATGCTCGTTCACCTTCACTGTATGCTCCCCAACCAGTCAACGATGCATCTGTGAAAATCTCTTTCTTGAACTTCATTTCTCTTATTGGATTGTACGAGTCTATGATTTTCGCTGACCACCATTTTAGATCTGATTGTGCAAGCTTGGAAAGCGTAGTATGAGCTTTGTAATTGTTCCCAGAACTTTTCAAAGCTAGGTATTTTTCGCGCTCCAACCTTTTAGTGTGCAACCAACCATATCTTATGGCAGGGCATGCAGCGACCAGCGTGCCATTAAGTTGCGCTAGTTTTTCGATCGTACAATCGTCAGTTGCAAGAAACCTTGCAACTAGTTGAGAAATGGAGTTTCGTTTTTTATCAGTCAGTTCGATTCGAAATTTCGAACTATCGATAATGAACCCTAAAAAGGTGCATCGTTGTGCAGGTTTAACCTGGCTTTTGTTTTCGCTGATTATGAAGCCCAAGGATTCAAGGAGTTCTTGGACGATTGAAACGTGTGTGTTGCATTCGTCCTTGGAGCTGGCGATTATGAGTATATCGTCGAGATACACAACTAGAATTATTCCTCGACTTCTCAGCGTTTGGATGACAGGCTTGAGCAGCTTTGTGAATGTGAACGGCGCTGTGCAAAGACCAAATGGCAGGCATTTAAATTCGTAGATTATACCTAGAAAAGAAAAGCGTAGAAATTTTCTGTGATTTTTAGAGACAGGGACCATGAGATATGCGTCTTTGAGATCTAAAACTGCCATATGGCAATTCCTATATACGAGACGCAGAGCAGTTTTCATATCCTCAATTTTAAAATGTGACGTGGTTATAAATTTGTTCAGGGATTTTAAATTGAGTATGAAACGATTATCACCGCTGGATTTCTGTCTCAGGAAGAAGGGTGAGAGGAATTGATTATCACATGGTTTGCATCGCCATACGGCATCTATTTTTTCAAGGTCCGATATGGCTTTTGAGGTATTAAATTCCTCCTCTGATGTCAATTTTGGTGTACTAGGTGCAGTTAACTGCCACGGTTCGCTATCAAATGGTATTTTATAACCTTTGATGCAGTTCACTATGAATGGGTCGGAAGTTAATTTTTTCCACTTTTTAATAAAATATTTTAGGCGACCGGCCGTTTTGCTTACCTCTAGTTCCTCCGCTGGAAGTTCGATGTTTTGCGTGCACCCCGAGTTTCTTGGCGACCCCCCCTCTTCGAACTCGTGCGCGAGTAGTTCCTCTTGGGGGGGCCCCTCCAGTTTAAATGATGTTTAGGCATGTTTGGCGCTGATGACTTCGTGTATTTGCTCGATGTTTCTTTCGACGAACCAGGTCTCGAAATGTCTTTGCTCGACTTCTCCACTTCCTTGGCCGATTTCAACTTCTCAGCCAAATTTGCTCCGAATAGAAAGGTGTCTACGGGTGTTTCGTCGGCGATGGTTTTTAAACGTAAACTAAATGACGGAGTAATAAATGATCGTCGAGTTAAAGACAGGTTGTGTTGAAGGTCGATGAGAATTCTGCCCACATCACTCATTGTCTCAAACATTTCAGCAAAATCCTTAGCTTCCATTTGTTTACCAGATTTTTTGTTGTTTAGAATAGTCGTGAGTACACCACCCGTTGCACTGATAGCTGCTCCCAATTGTTTTTGAGAAGCCACTTGGTATTCATCTTTTTTTATGGCTGACGGGGTCATATTTGATTTCAACTCGGGATTGAGTATAGGTGCACTCATGGTGGGGCAATTTTCCGGTGGCTGGTGTTTTTTTATTAAATCACGTTTTGTGTCTTTTGACAGACCAGATTCTAAGAGTTTTGTCCATAGAGTGGCGATCGAATCGTGTATGGGAGCGCTGAGTTTGTTTTCATCGTCAGCGTCGTTTCCCAGCAATTTCAGAAGCTCGTTATCGCTTGTTACCAAGGGAGGTGTTTTGTCACCTGTTCGATTTGGAGCGCCATCTTGTTTTCCGGGACTTCGTGGACTGCTTCTCGACCTGGAGCGGCTTCTCGGAGAACGAGACGTGCCTCTCCGACTACGCTCTACGTCTCCATTTGCACTCGTGCTTGACCAAGACGTTCCTCGCAGGTAACGTTCATGATCTAAGCCTCCGGCATATCTGGATTCTCGATCCGATTCGCGTTTCTCTCGGTCGCGAATTTTTTGTTTGTGCGACGTACCTCGCTGGTGACGTTCTACGCTTGACGATTGTCTTCGTGAATCACTTGATGACGATGTACTTCTGCGTGAACGACGACCACGCTTCGATCTTTTTGACTCCTTTTTTAACCTCTTATTTTTCCCCGATGAGTGCTTTTTGTGGTGACGGCGATTATCTCTGGATGAAATAGACTCGTTCGAACTCATGTTTGTTATAAATTTCACTCAAAAAACTTAGAAACACTTAATTTTTTGTGAAAAAATACTTTTTTGTTTCACACGTGCATGTGTAGCGGAACGCACAGAATAACTTAATGGCTGGAAAAGGAAGTGAGACCGGGGCGACACCTGACAGTGGCGCCAAAAATTTCTACTATTTAAAATTACTGTGGCGGAACAAGCAGTACCACGATACTACGTTTTTTGATCTTGAGGACGAGACATCGAAATACAATTTAAAAGCAGCATTTTTTAAAATAATTGATTTTTTGAGGAATTGAAATTAATATTTTAAGAATATTTTTCGAGCAATTCCTGTAAAATTTTATTAAAAATAATTGAAATCCAGCGACGATTTCTTATGAAAATAATTGAATAGTTGTTAAGAATTTTATTAAAATTTTCAAAAATAATTGAATTTCTAAGAAGAGTTTTCTTATTTATGAAAATAATTGAATTATTGTGTAAATTTTATTAAAATGTTTAAAATTAGTTGGATTTCTGTGAAAAATTTTGTTATTTTTGAAAATAGTTGAATTCTTTATTAGAATTTTATAAACATTGTTTTAAATAATTAATTTTTTCGAAATATAATAAATATTATGAAAATTTTATTTTAAATAATTGAATTCTTGTGGGAAACTTTATTTTGTGAAAATAATTGAATTTTTCGATTAATTAATTTAAAATAGTATTAAAAATAATTGAAATTGTTCGATGAGTTTTATTATTTATGAAAATAATTGGATTCTTGCTTAGAATTTAATCAAAAATTTTTTTATAAAATTGGATTTCCATAAAAAATGTTCTTCTATGTAATAAATTAACTTTAAAACAAGTGCATAAGAAGATTAAAATAATCTTTATTAATGTAGAGATAAAGGAGTGTCCAGTTAATTATAAAGAGTAGTGAATTTAATTTTTAGTAAAATAAAGTGCAACGTTACAATTTATTGTATAGGTATAAATGCTATCTCCTGAATGTTTGGTCTGACTATATTCAAGTCTTACTACTGCGGAGCTGCACTAGAAACAGAATATGCTATGCAGTGAGCCACTGACGATGACGGTCAAAATTGCCCGACTACTTGATATATCAAGTAGTCGATAATAAAAATCGATAACTCTGTTAAAAATTATAGTAGATAATTCTTTATTCCAATTTTTAAAAAGATTATAAAATTTGCCATTAAATGATTCTAAACATAAGTTTTTTTATGAACAAAAAATAAATATAATTTTTGTTTTCAGTAGGGGAGAGGGCCCTAAGGTGGTCACCCATCTTTTGAACGACTCCCAGGTGCGAAAAGTTGGTCGGGCCATGGTCGCGCCGACCAAGTGGATAGTCGTGCCGACCTTGGCAACCAAAGGTCGGCCGAACTAGCGAATTGTAACACCCGCCGTCCAGTGGCTGACATGGTCGTGCCGACTATGGTAGCCAAAGTCGGGCCGACCAGGGGTGCCAAAGCTTTGCCGACCATGAGAAAGAAGGTCGGATTCACTTTGGCAACCTTGGTCGTGCCGACCTTGGCAGCCAAAAGTCGGCCGACCGATTGCAAAAAATTATTAATTATTTATTATTATTATTAATTATTATTATTCATTATTTATTTGTTTATTGTATACATCTTAACACTAAACGCAATCTTACACATAAATACAAATTAAAATTTCTAACGCTCGCAGGAATCGAACTCGCAACCTAACGCACCGAAGTCTAACACGCTAACCATTACGCTACGCTTACATGAAAGCCTAAGAACAAAAATGATTTTATAAGCTGCAACTTCAAACTGACCATCGGCCCGACTCTGGCCAAAGTCGGCCCGACCAAGTGAAATTAGGTTTTTTGCACTCTGGCTGCCATAGTTTTACCGACCGTCGGCCCGACTCAGGCCAGAGTCGGCCCGACCAATTAAAATTAGGTTTTTTAAACTCTGGCTGCCATAGTTTAACCCACCATCGGCCCGACTCAGGCCAGAGTCGGCCCGACCAACTAAAATTAGGTTCTCTAAACTCTGGCTGCCATAGTTTTACCGACCGTCGGCCCGACTCAGGCCAGAGTCGGCCCGACCAACTAAAATTAGGTTCTCTAAACTCTGGCTGCCATAGTTTTACCGACCGTCGGCCCGACTCAGGCCAGAGTCGGCCCGACCAAGTGAAATTAGGTTTTTTGCACTCTGGCTGCCATAGTTTTACCGACCGTCGGCCCGACTCAGGCCAGAGTCGGCCCGACCAATTAAAATTAGGTTTTTTAAACTCTGGCTGCCATAGTTTAACCCACCATCGGCCCGACTCAGGCCAGAGTCGGCCCGACCAACTAAAATTAGGTTCTCTAAACTCTGGCTGCCATAGTTTTACCGACCGTCGGCCCGACTCAGGCCAGAGTCGGCCCGACCAACTAAAATTAGGTTCTCTAAACTCTGGCTGCCATAGTTTTACCGACCGTCGGCCCGACTCAGGCCAGAGTCGGCCCGACCAAGTGAAATTAGGTTTTTTGCACTCTGGCTGCCATAGTTTTACCGACCGTCGGCCCGACTCAGGCCAGAGTCGGCCCGACCAATTAAAATTAGGTTTTTTAAACTCTGGCTGCCATAGTTTAACCCACCATCGGCCCGACTCAGGCCAGAGTCGGCCCGACCAACTAAAATTAGGTTCTCTAAACTCTGGCTGCCATAGTTTTACCGACCGTCGGCCCGACTCAGGCCAGAGTCGGCCCGACCAAGTGAAATTAGGTTTTTTGCACTCTGGCTGCCATAGTTTTACCGACCGTCGGCCCGACTCAGGCCAGAGTCGGCCCGACCAAGTGAAATTAGGTTTTTTGCACTCTGGCTGCCATAGTTTTACCGACCGTCGGCCCGACTCAGGCCAAAGTCGGCCCGACCAACTAAAATTAGGTTCTCTAAACTCTGGCTGCCATAGTTTTACCGACCGTCGGCCCGACTCAGGCCAGAGTCGGCCCGACCAACTAAAATTAGGTTCTCTAAACTCTGGTTGCCATAGTTTTACCGACCATCGGCCCGACTCAGGCCAAAGTCGGCCCGACCAACTAAAATTAGGTTCTCTAAACTCTGGCTGCCATACTTTAGCCGACCATCGGCCCGACTCAGGCCAGAGTCGGCCCGACCAACAGAAATTAGGTTTTTTGCACTCTGGCTGCCATAGTTTTACCGACCGTCGGCCCGACTCAGGCCAGAGTCGGCCCGACCAAGTGAAATTAGGTTTTTTGCACTCTGGCTGCCATAGTTTTACCGACCGTCGGCCCGACTCAGGCCAGAGTCGGCCCGACCAACTAAAATTAGGTTCTCTAAACTCTGGTTGCCATAGTTTTACCGACCATCGGCCCGACTCAGGCCAAAGTCGGCCCGACCAACTAAAATTAGGTTCTCTAAACTCTGGCTGCCATAGTTTTACCGACCGTCGGCCCGACTCAGGCCAGAGTCGGCCCGACCAAGTGAAATTAGGTTTTTTGCACTCTGGCTGCCATAGTTTTACCGACCGTCGGCCCGACCAAGTGAAATTAGGTTTTTTGCACTCTGGCTGCCATAGTTTTACCGACCGTCGGCCCGACTCAGGCCAGAGTCGGCCCGACCAACAGAAATTAGGTTCTCTAAACTCTGGCTGCCATAGTTTTACCGACCATCGGCCCGACTGAGGCCAGAGTCGGCCCGACCAACTAAAATTAGGTTCTCTAAACTTTGGCACCCATAGTCGGCCCAAACTTGGGTGGAAACAGTAACCAAAGTCGGCCCGACTTTGGCTGCCGACCTATTGGCAGCCATAGATGGGCCGACCTGCGCCCGACCTTCCAACTCTGGCGGCCGACCAAAATTCGCACCTGGGCTGTAGATTTCAAATGGAATTATATATAAAGGTCAATAATACGGCGTTTGAAACTTTATCTTATTACCTAACTTCCTATCATAAAGCTTTTTTATTTCATTAATAAAAAAAAAGTTATGGCACTTTTTAAAAAAAGTTGAAAATTCGACTTTTAAAAAAGTGGCCCCAAGGTGGTCACCATACAAAAATTCACTAAAAAAGTTTTAAAAAAATGTAAAAAACGTATTACTAAGTTGTTTATTTAATATTAATTGTTTTTCAGGATCACAGAAACATATTACATATTTTTTTTGCACTTTGTCCTTTCGTCAAAAATGATACTTTTTGTGTATGTATTAGATAGGTAAAATTTTGAAAATAATTCTATTTTATTATTATTCATCATAAAACTTAAAAATTGATAAAATTCACATTCACAGTGACAAATGTTGATAAATATGGCGTATAAACACATTTTCATAAAAAATCAGAAGTGACCACCTTGTGGCCAAAAAAGTGTCCACCTTAGGGCCAAGACACAATTTTTTAAACGTTAATGAAAAAATTGTTTAAAGCACAATATTAATTATATTTATTTGGAATATTATTGTACGATATATAAAGATAATTATAACGATTTTTACTAATTTAAAATGGTTAATTTCGATGATTTTAACACCCTGAGAAAAAAATTTCTCGATCATTTAAAAACAGAAATTTTACGACGTTCACGTTACAAAGAGACTCATACGACTATTTACCTCAAAACTTTACTAAAATCTTTGTCTTCTCAAATAATAACAATAACAAAAAACATTTAAAGATACTAACTAATATACAAAAATTTTCTTAGGGTGACCACCTTAGGGCCCTGACCACCTTGGGGCCCTCTCCCCTAAATTTTCATTGTCCAAGTTTAATGGGCTGCAATTTCTAGCCAATTTATAAGAAACATTATAAATGTTCTAATTTTAAGCTTTAAAATAATTTCAATCTCTAAAAACAAGAAAAATTATAAATGTTCGAATTTGAAGCTTTAAAATAATTTTAAACTCTAAAAACATTCTTATGATAGGTTAAAGTGAAATCGATTACAATTTACAATTCAATAAAAAATATGAGGATTAATAAATTAAAAATATTCTACAATTATTGTACAGAATGTT